GCTGATTTAATATCTAAAAATCAAACAATGCAATACACCATATTAACAGAATAACATAAAAACCACATGATCACCTCAATAGACACAGAAAAAGCATTTGACAAAATCTAATACCTTTTTCAGTATAAAAAGTTTCAACAAATTAGGAATAGAAGGCAACATCCTCACCCTGATAAAGGCAACTACAAAAACCTCACAGCTATCATCACATGTAATGTTAAAATATGATTCGAAGCTTTTCCCTGGAGATCAAGAACAAAACAAGGACATCTCACCACTTCTATTCAACAATTTAACTGAAGGGTCAAGTCAAGTCAATTAGGCAAGGAAAGTAGCAGAATATATGACATGAACTAATTTCTTAAGATTTTAATAGAAGTCTTATACAGAATGGGGCCAACAGCAAAATGTAATGAACAACTGTCAAGCTAGGGCTGGATCTGGAGCTCACAGACCCTTCAAAGCCCATTGTCTAGACTAGGTCACAAACCCTTCACATGACAGGCTGGGTCACCAGACCCCCTCACATGCATGTCTATGAGCTAGGTAACTGGCAAACAGGTCCTTGGAAGCCATAGGTTGGAGAGCAGGGCCACACAGCGGACGCCCAAGGCAGCCAACACCAGCCAAGGTCACGGTGCTGCGGTGCATGCACACTAACTCCACCCACACACACAATTTGCTTACAAAGAATATGCTGCACCACCCCCAACAGGACCCATGGTGAGGGGGGCTGATTAAATTATTCTATTTTCCCAACAACAACCATCATGAAATTGTTCATCCATGAAGTGTGACCTTTCCAAAAGGTCAAAAAGTTCCTATTTTTAAAAATTATAAAATCATAAAATAGAGCTGCTATTTTATTGCTAGACAGTATCCTAGAGGTAATCCAGTTCAACTCCATACTGTGCCCCTAAGTACTTTATCCAAACTTCTGCTTGTTACTGGCATAGGCCTCCTCACTACCAGAGATGTGTAGGAAATGTGCAAGAGTCTGAGGCAGAAGGAGGTACACACAAAGAAAGGAGAATTGGGGACAAGAGAATGACAAAGTGAAAACACTCAGTACACCAGAACCCTAAAGCAGGCAGGATGTTTGAACAAAGAAAACAATTTTAAAAGGCTGGCTGGTTAGCTCTGTTGGTTAGAGTGCAGTGTTGTAACACAAAGGTCAAGGGTTCGAATCCCCTTACCAGCCAGCTGCCAATAAAAGAAAAGAAACTTAAAATAAAAATCAGAATTTTCTGAGATGAGGGTAATTAATGTCCTATATCTTGATAGGGGATTGGGTTACACAGCTATATGCATCTGACCAAAAATGATCTGATACACTTATATGTCTGTATATGAATTTCACCTTAAAAAAACAAAGACAGTAAGCAAATATTACACTCTAGCTAATGATACAGATGCTGAAGTGTTTAGGGGTAAAGTATATTAATGTCTTTAATTTAGTTTCAAATGCATCAAAGCCTAAGAATGGTTGCTAAACAGATATGATAAAGCAAATATAGCAAAAAAAGCAAATGTGAATACTCACTATACAACTCTCAATTTTTATGTTTGACCATTTTCATAATAAAATGTTGGGGGGCAGGGGTCAGCAGATCAGAAAAGAAGCCTTGGAGAAAGAAAGCCAAAAGAAAAGGGTGGTGGTGGGGGGAATGTGTTAAGAGCTAAAACAAAGAGATAATAGAGAATAATTTTTAAAGTAAATAATAATAATAATAATAATGAGAGAGAGAGAGAGAGAGAGAGAGAGAGAGAGAGAAATAATCAAAGAAAGTGAAACCACAGGCCAGTTGTGGAAACTCACTCACTGCATGAGTTTTACTACAAAAATGTGATAATAATACAATTATACAAGGGTACTTCAAAAAGTTTATGGAAAGACTTGTATTATCTTTCAATTCTATTTTTCCATGAACTTTTGAAGTATCCTCGTATAATATTATATGATATAATAAACACTTCATGTAGAATAGTCACAGAGTACAAGACAGACCAAAGCCAGAGACTTTGGCTGAAATCTTTCTGAAAAAGAGTATGAAAAAGTAATGGGGTGGGTGGCGGGCAGAACAGCCACAAATGATGTCTCTAAAGGCAGCAATATTCACACTTAAAGACTGCCAGAGAATTGCCTGCGTAATGTAAATGTACGTAATTTACAAAAACAAACCCTCCCTGATCCTATTAATACAGCCTATAAAATATTAGCAAAATGCACTTAATGAGTTGACAGAACCTCACTAAAAGTTTTAAGCATAATAATTAGCATTTTGCTGTAGGGGACAGTCTGGGGCTTCTATATGTTTCTATATTTTCAGTTGAGAGTTTCCCCCATCTATTTGTAACTATAAAGTCACCATTTGTTACCATATGTAAGGTAAAGATCAATTACTAATTTATTCAAAGACAGCTTTTTCAGCTGAAGTATTACAACTCAAATATTCTTTGCATTTCTCTTCAGTGTTATCTGTTTTATTCCTAAAAGGGTAGAGACAAACTAGACAACTTCTGAAAGCACAGCTGATACACTTCACAGCTATTTACCAAGTAAGACTAGGGTTAGGATATTAATAAACTAAAGTTTTTTAATCGGAACTCTAAAATATTTTTTACCTGTGCAAAATACCCTACCTTAGTGAAGAAGAAAGTTACTTTACTCAATAAACAATTCAATAAATAGTCGATAAATAAAAGCACCAAACATAAATTAGAGTACAATAGGGAAATTACCAGGCTGAGCTCTAGAAGTGTCAAGAGGTCTGCACAGATTGGTGAAGCAGTATCAACTGGTAATTCTAAGTTAAACAAGATTAGTGCACCCTTCCCTATGATAAACATTAGTGACATCCACTAGAACAACTATCGAGTTGGAAAAAAAAAGTCTTGCCAAGAAAAGCAGCATTACTAAAGATGTCTCATTCATTCACATGGCTTATAATGAGCTAAGCTGCCTTCACAATGAAAAATGTGCTGATAGTTTTTCTAATGTAGCCAAGTTTTTTTTTTTTTACTGGCTCTGTCACCCAGATAATATGTAAAATATAATGAAGTAGGATTATTGTCCAAAATCATCCTTATGCCTACCACCAAAGAGAAATATTATTAACATAGTCCACCAGCTATATTCTTTAATGTTCAACAATTTTGCTATAATTTTGCTTCATTTCTCAGTTAATCATGAACCATGAATTTTCCAGGACATTTTACATCATAATTTTCAAATATTACTATAATCACCTCATAATTTATGTGGAATATACAATAAGAGTGAATGTTACTACTTCCTGATCACAACCTAAAGCAATTTCGAATTCCTTACAACCATCCTGCAAAATAAACATTATACTCCAACTTTATATTTTTAAAAACTGAGTTTTGTTTCTCCCCAAGATACTAGAGAAATACCACTTTAACCAAGTGATAAAACTCATCACAGGACAAACGTATCCCTATACGTCACAATATGATGAATATCATCCCTTCTATGGTATTTCTACCAAAAATGCATAACCCAATTCTAATCATGAGGAAATATCAGACAAACCCATACTGGGAGACTGACCCATATTCTTCAAATATGTCAATGTCATGAAATTGAGGAACAGTTCCACATTAAAAGAGACTAAAGAGAATTGACACCTTAATGCAATGTATGATCAAGGACTTATTAGCTATAAAGGACATTATTAGGGTAACTGGGAAAATATGATCTGAAGGTTAGATTGGATAATGAATTTATCTTTTGATATTTGTTAACTGTAATATAATTATCAAAAAAAAAAGATCCTTGTTTTTTTAAAAAATACACACTGAAGTATCTAGGAGTAAAAAAACACTTCACAACTTATTCTCAGGTTCAGGAGAAAAACTGTAGAAAGGAGGCAGAAAAGTCTAAAAGTAAATGTGGCAAAAATGGTAACATCTGGGGGATCTGGAAGAAGGGTATTCAGTAGTTATTTGCACTACTCTTGAAACTTTTCTCTAAGTCTCAAAAAAAACGGGGGTTCTAAGAGATTTAAGTAAGTCTAATTAGCAAAGTGATAGGGACCCAAACCCAGGTTTATACAGATTCAAAAGGGTTCTCTCATAACCTAATCTGGATAGGTTATCTCATAACACCTCTACCATTGGACATTTAAAACTGGGCAATTAACATCTTACCAAATAAAGCCCTTTTTCCCAAATTTAAGGTTACTTCCTTAATAAATACTTCCCAAAATGGGATCAATGGATAAATGAACATGAACTATTTTTCTAATACATAATACTGTTTTTTTTTAATTCTCACAATATTTTTATAAAAAGGAAAATTAGGAATATCTTTCCTATTGTTCACTACTTTTTATTTTTTTTATTTTTTATTTTTTCCTTTTTGTCTTTTTTCGTGTCCGGCAACGGATCGCAACCCTCAGTGTCGCGCCCGTACCGGACCGGGACCGGCAACGGGATCACAACCCTCGGTGTTGCGCCCGCACCGCGCTCAGCCAGTGAGCGGGAACCGGTCTGTATGTGGGATCCAAACCCTCGGCGGGAGTGCCGCCGCACTCCCAAGCAGCGCACAGTAGCAGTGCGCCACCGGGCTGGCCCCTACTTTTTATTTTTTTTAATCTTTAAGGCTAGTCAAGTGAAGCAGTGAGAGTAGAGAATAAAGAAATCTATAACTGGTTGTGATCAATTAGTTGTAAACACCACTGCACTCAGATCAACCTACTACCTGCTTTTTAAACACGAAGTTCCAGGGCTGGCTGGTCAGCTTGGTTGGTTAGAACATGGTGCTGATAACATCAAGGTCCAGGGTTCCATCTTGGTATCATACCAGCCAGCCGCACCCCCCCACACACACAAAAAAAGAAAAAAATGATTAAAATAAAATAAAATCCAAGATCAAAAATCCTGAGGAATCCTTCAAAGGAAACCATTAAATCATGTGTTCTCCCTTAATTTCCTTAATTCTAAACAAAACAAATAAGAGTTCCACAAAAACTTACCTGTACCACTTGTTTCTGTGGTTGTGCTGCCTGTGTTGCTGAAATCTGTGTTTTTTCCTGAGCACCTCGGCAACGGTCACTGTTCACTGATGTCATCATATACAGTATATAGAAAATAACGTATGTTCAAAATAGAAAATCTGCAAGAAAGTAGGCATGATAAGCAAAACTCCCAAATCATTGTAAAACGCAATTGTATGATCTGGTGAAAGGAGGCCACATGAGATAAAACATAAAAGCTCTCTGGAATACAGATTCTCAAGAAACAGCCCTTCAGGATTTTAGGTTTTGCTGGTAGCTCTTAAACCAATTTTACTAATGCAATCTAAAAGTCTATGATTTATAATGTTGGCAATTCTTAACAAAAACTCAATTAGCAATTTTTTTTTTTTTTTTTTTTTTTTTTTTAAAAGATGACCGGTAAGGGGATCTTAACCCTCAACTTGGTGTTGTCAGCACCACGCTCAGCTAGTGAGCGAACCGGCCATCCCTATATGGGATCCGAACCCGGGGCCTTGGTGTTATCAGCACCGCACTCTACCGAGTGAGCCACAGGCTGGCCCTCAATTAGCAATTTTAACCAGCATTTATTTTACCACTGAATGTAGTTCTATCTGCCTCTTCCTACTTGCAGTTGAGCCCAAAGGCAACATTGCACCCTGCCAAGATTTTACCTGTCAATGACCCAATTCAAAATGTGGTGTCAAGAAATAAGCTATCCCTAAAAGCAAAAACAACCTATGAATGATAAATCTTCCAAGGAGACAAACAAAACTGTGCATATAATTTTCCTTCATTTATTTAATAAATATGTATTGAATTGCTAAGTGCCAAGCACACAACTAAATATAATACATATAATCAAAACATGATTATAACAATAAGATACCCACTTCAAACCCATTAAGAAGGCTACTATAAATTTTTATTAAAAATTTTTAAAAACACATAAAGGGTTGGCAAGGATGTGGAAAAATTTGAAGCCTGTGTACACCTTGTATGATGGTGCAGACACCTACGGAAAACAGTATAGCAGTTCCTAAAAAAAAAAAAAAAAAAAAAAAAGGATTGCCATACTGAGGTGCTCTTAATCCTGTTCGTGACGCCAATTGTAAAGCTACTCGACCACACCAGTTGTCAGTTGTCGGACTCTTTGTACCTACCGGTAATCCTGCACTGACGGGGCCGATTGTTGAGCTAGGGCTGGGTCT